GATCAGAAAAAAACTATGTGTATTCAGTGTAAAAAGAAGTATAATATGTTGCGAGCGCGCAACGATTAGGTAATTCGATAGGTAGCGACAGAAGTCGAATATGACTTCCGCCGAAACTCCTGACGATTGCATCGGACGAGCGATCATCCGATGCAAGTCGACACCGGAACCCGGAGCGCGGACTCCGGAGCGACCGAAATCGCTGACGCGAAGGCCATCGCGAGGCGTCGGCAACGAGAATTCCGCGCTAACTCGGAAGTTCCGAGTTAGCAACAAGACTCGGTCGCAAGGCTATAAAAGACCGCCGAATTGGCATGCCCGGCAGTCGGTCGAAAAACAGCTAGCTGCCGCGTCGAAACACCTACGATTTCCTGAAAACCATCCGCAAGACGGGAACTCAACAAGAAGAGACAACTCGTGTAGAACAAGCCCATTTATTTAATAAAGACATAAATTGGAAATCGGACGTGTTGATCCACTCCTTTCTCGCTCGCGAGCGGAACTCGATCCCCTTAGCCGATACCCGGCTAACAATTTGGTGGCAGCGGTGGGATCGTTTCAGCCATCTTGCGAGGAAGGACCAGCCCACATCGCCATCTCACGTCTGAAACAAACCAAGTTCAATTAATAAGGGAGGCAACGCATCCCGGAAAGGAAAAGTCAGATAAGACGCGAGCTAAGAGACGGTAGCAGCCGCGAGTGCAGAAGTGACACCTGAGACGGCCACGACCTACCGCACGGCATCACCGGCCCGAGCGACGACGCAGGGACACAGCGAAGCAGCATAGCAGCGCAACAGGGACGCAGCGACGACAGGGACGCAGCCAAGCAGCGAAGCGGCCCGACGACCAGGCGATGCAGACAGGCAGCAACATGCGATTCGCGGCGATATTGTAAGTGCGAAAATTATTATATCCGCGAGCGCTAAGTAGATGTCGGACGACCCGAACCAACAGACGCCCGTCCGACAAACGTCGTTCGTCCATAGCGAGTCCGCGCACCGCGCTTCGCGTAACCTAGTTAACCCGGTGAGTGCGACGCGATCCGAAAGCGAAGGGTTAAACCGGCCCGCTGAAAGCGAAGGGGTAAACCGGCCCGCTGAAAGCGAAGGGTTAGACCGGCCCGCTGAGCAAGACGGATTAGATCAAGTTCGACAAAATTTAGATTCGCGTTTTGCCGAGGAAGAGACGCCCGTACTATCTCCGAACGTTGTCATAGAACGCGAGTTTCCGTTCGACGAAGTAGACGTAAGCGTAACAGGCGAACGCGAACACCGCGATAATAATACAGAGCGACCGACTCCGACTGACTCACTGACAGACGTCTCCGACGTCACGCTAAGCCGCGCGTCACAACGAGGCGAATTTTCTCTCACGTCATACGACAGTAGTATATTCGTTCCCGACGAGAATTCCGCGGAGGCCGGGATGAGTCATACAGGAAACGCGACTCCTACCCGAGAGAACCGCGAGGAAAACACGGACCCAGCCAGGGTGACCGAACAAGGCGACGCCGAAACGGCGCAAAATAGGCCACTCGTCAGGCGACCGGCGACACACGAGCAAAATCGAGTCCCGGAGCCGACGCAACGAGAACTGAGAGCCCCGGACGCAGTGATAACCGATTTAATAAACTTAATGCGCGACATGCAAGAACGCATGGACCGCGTCGAGGCTGCGGAATTCGACCGATCGGCCGAACTTCTTCGCGCTTTTCGCGAGTTACAGAGCCGCGTAGGCAGGATGGAATCCGCCACGCGCGAATCTTATAGTCGACAGGAGCGGCTATCACTTGATCCCGACACGCGAGACCGCCGCGTACGTAGTCAGGGCCCTTTAGATGTCACATATGGACGAACGCATAGCGACGTCCGGAATCAACCGGGTCTAGTTAACGGGTACCTCAGCCTTAAAGAGGCACGAGCAATGATACCCGAGATTAACGGCGAGTCGCGCGAACGTGTCCGTGAATTCGTAAACGCGAGCACATATGCAATGAAGAATGTCCAGCCGACCGACGAGTCGATGCTACTCGAAGCTATTCTGTGCACGAAATTTAAAGGGAAGGCAATGACGGACTTCGATACACGCGACATACGCGATTTTGACCAATTGAAGCGCGAGCTCGAGTCAGAATATCTAGGGAAACGCTGCATGACGCATCTGCAGCTCGAATTTAATTCGTTAACGCAAAAGCCAGGCGAGAGCGCGCAAGACTTCGGTAGGCGCGTCGAGAAATTAGCCCGCGAGCTTTACGAAGCAATGGAAGAGGGCAAAGGTCATACGCAAGAACAGCAAAAGGCCATACTAGATAATATCAAAATTCAAGCGCTGCATAATTTTCAAATTGGATTACATGATGACATAAAATTGTTAGTGAGAGCGCAGCGATACCAGAGCCTGCAAGAAGCGATAACAGGCGCCAGCGCGGAGGAGAGAGTTAAAGGCCCCTCCCCGCGGAACGCACCGGCAACGGCAAAGAATAAATATCCCGCGATAAATGCGCGAACCGCAGGGAAAACGGTAGAATGCCACAAGTGCGGAAAAAACGGTCATTACGCGCGAGATTGCCGTACGAGCCGTCACGCAAACAGATATGCATTGCCGAAAGCCGAGAAGTCTAGCATTAACACGATAGAGTGTTCATATTGTAAAAAGGCAGGGCATAAG